TGTTGTTGTTGTTGTTGTTCAGTTTTTTCATTCACGGACCTGGCATTCAACAGCACCACCCTATAGCCCGGAGGGACCGCCATCCTGGTTACCCAAATAAACCCAGGAACAGGGCTAAAAACCAAGACACCAAGAATATTTATTTTTGACCAGTCTCCTAACCAGAAAATCTCCTAACCAGAATACAGATGCTCCCTGGCCAAAAATTAAAAACTCCTCACCTGTCTCAGCATCATCGTCAAACTGAGGCAGGCGCTTCACCAGTTGGGGCATATTAGCGTGAGGGTCATCTTGGAAGTTGTCATTCTCTAATGCTTCCAATTGGCGATTGAGGCGGCGTTGGCGAGTGGCCCGGTCCAAGATGCGCCTTTGGCTGGGGTCCTGGGAGCGCGCTGAAGGGAAAAAGAGAAACAGAGAAAGGTGACCTCAAAAAGACTAAAGTTACCCATAAAGACCCCAGAATATCGACCAGGCATGGGCAAACTTTGGCCTTCCAGGTGTTTTGGACTTCAGCCCCCATAGTGGGAGTTGAAGTCCAAAACAACTGGAGGGCCAGAGTTTGCCTATGTCTGATCTACAGAGTGACTCCATAAATGGGAGAGTTGCCTACACTAGAAAACCAATTCTGGAAGCAGTACTTCCACATATCCTGATGGCACTAGCGAGTCAAGGAATGCATCTACATTCCAGAATTAATGCAGTTTCAGACAACTTTAAATACCATGGCTCACTACTATGGAATCTTGGCAGTTCTAGTCTTACAAGATCATTAGCCTTCTCTAATTGTTGGGAATGACAACCTTCTTCAAGCCTCCTGTAGTAATTCTTTATCTATAATCCTGTTGTTTACTTATTGTATGCATGTTCTGATATGCAGCTTTCTTTCCTTGCTCTATGCTTTTCCTGGGAAGTTGTGGGAGGGGCTATAGACCACATGATCCACTCTGAGAGGAGCACAGAGAACAGACTTTGGGACTGCTCAGATTGCAGACCTGCAAACATTTGCCTACAGTTTATTGTAAGAGAGAGATGTTCTGACCAGATGGCACAGAAACTTATATCTGTAACTGAGTGATAAGTTGTATGCTGAACCCATGAAGGTAGTGAGTAAACCAAATATGTTACCAATAACATATTGTCATGTATCAATAGCATATTAATCGTTCCTGTAGTTGAATGTGACGTCTGTAGACTGCCCAAGTCTTGCAGGCGTATAGCAGGGTTGGGAGGACAATAGCTTTATAAACAAGCATCTTGGTATCCCTACAGATGCTCCGGTCCTCAAACACTCTGTGCTTCATTGGGGAAAATGCTGCACTCGCAGAGCTCAGGTGATGTTGAATTTCAGTGTCAATGTTATTATTATAATTATTATTATAACTTTATTTGTACCCTGCTAGCATCTCCCGAAGGATTCGATGCGGCTTACACAGGCCGAAGCCCCAAAACACAATACAATAATACAATACCTAAAGCAAATTAAAACAGTTAAGCAGAAAAACAATAAAAGTAACAATACAACAAAACACTATTAAAACTGGGCCGGTCAGAGTAGGGGTACAAGATTAAAAGTGCTGATGTGGCGGGAGGAATGTAGGATTATAAAGTAAGTGCAGTGTGTGGTGTGCAGTGATCTTGGTTCTACTAAAGTGCTTCTAGGACTTGGTGCTGGAGGTTCCTAATCTGAGAAGGCACATCGGAACAGCCAGGTTTTCAAATTCTTTCTGAAGACTGCCAATGTAGGGGCCTGTCTGAGATCTTTTGGGAGGGCGTTCCAAAGTCGGGGGGCCACCACAGAAAAGGCCCTGTCTCGCGTCCCCACCAAGCGCGCTTGCGACGCGGGCGGGATCACGAGCAGGGCCTCTCCAGATGACCGGAGTGAGCGTGTGGGTTCGTAGACAGCGATACGGTCACGCAGGTAGGGTGGTCCCAAACCGTTCAGGGCTTTGTAGGTAAGCACCTGCACCTTAAATTGGGCTCGGAAAATAAACGGCAGCCAGTGGAGCTCCTTGAACAGGAGGGTTGACCTCTCTCTGTAATGAGCCCCCCTGGCTGCTGCCCGTTGGACCAGCTGGAATTTCCGAGCCGTTTTCAAGGGCAGCCCAACGTAGAGCGCGTTGCAGTAATCCAATCTAGAGGTGACCAAGGCATGGACCACCCCGGCCAGATCAGCCTTCGCGAGGTACGGACGCAGCTGGCGCACAAGTCTCAGTTGTGCAAAAGCCCTCCCGGACACCGCCGACGCCTGAGCCTCAAGCGTGTTGACTTTTGTGGAGAGGTGGCTGCCTGCTGGAGCGCTCAAGGGCCAGGGCTCCCCACTTCTCAGTGTCGATGCCTGAGTTTTTAAGGTTGGCTTTGAGCCCATCTTTAAATCTCTTTTCCTGCACACCAACAACTCCATAGCATTGAGCCATAGCAGACAAAGTGGTGTCAAACTGCACTAATTCCTCAGTGTAGATGCCCTCACTTTATCACACCAATAGAGCCTATGAATATCTAGGCAAAAGCAGCATCATGTGGCAAGAACTGGTACCTGGCCTGGATCAGAACATCCATCCCCAATGGACAACCTGCCTTCCATTTCAACTCCCATTAAGACCTACCTGAGCCTTTCTTTTCCACCATGTTCCCAGCTAGGAAAAATCTTTGGTGTCACTTTCTGCTATGAGACCTGAACTGGTTTCCAGTCCTTTGTTTTTCATGGAGAAGTGCCTTCTTCTCATAGTAGGCAGCCATGCAGAGAATGGAGTCGATTGAACACCGGAAGTTTATGTTGGAGTTTTTTTTCTCTTTCCTCTTGGAAACAAACGCTGGGTTCAGCCGCGGCCATTTTACTAGAGGCAAAAGCACATCCGCCTGCTCCCAAAAGCCCCGCCCCCTGACGTCACGAATTCCTTTAGCCAAGGGTAGAATTTTTCTCCTGGGTCCTAAACATCACCGATTTCGAATACCTGATGAACTCAACCTGGGCACAGCATATTATTTGAGAACACAGAAATGCTGGACCACTCTGACAACCACCATGCCAGACTACACAGAGAAGCCATTGAAATCCACAAGCATGTGGACAATTTCAACAGAAAGGAGGAAACCATGAAAATGAACAAAATCTGGCTACCAGTATTTAAAAAAAAAACCTCTAAAATTACAACAGCAAAACAACAGAGAGGAAACAAAAAAAAAGGACTTCTAATCACCTCTCAAGGAGCCCCCGGTGGCGCAGTGGGTTAAAGCTTGTTGATCGAAAGGTCGCAGGTTCGATTCCGAGGAGCGGCGTGAGCTTCCGCTGTCAGCCCTAGCTTCTGCCAACCTAGCAGTTCGAAAACATGCAAATGTGAGTAGATCAATAGGTACCGCTCCGGCGGGAAGGTAACGGCGCTCCATGCAGTCATGCCGGCCACATGACCTTGGAGGTGTCTACGGACAACGCTGGCTCTTTGGCTTAGAAATGGAGATGAGCACCACACCCCAGAGTCAGACATGACTGGACTTAATGTCAAGGGACTACCTTTACCTAATCACCTCTCCACAAAAGATTGCCCCAGGCACTGCCAGGCCATCAAATCCATCAAATCAAGGCGGTCAGTTGAAACATTCACACCTAGCTCCAGCAGACAAGAGTCCTTTGTCCCACCCTGGTCAATTCCACAGATATATAAACCCATTTTCCTAGTTCCAACAGACCTCACTACCTCTGAGGATGCTTGCCATAGATGCAGGCGAAACGTCAGGAGAAATGCCTCTAGAACATGGCCATATAGCCTGAAAAAAACCTACAAGAACCTAGTGATTCCAGCCATGAAAGCCTTCGACAATACATTATCTTCCTTTGCCTTTATATCTATGATTTTATGATTCTATGATATATAAACCCATTTTCCTACTTCCAACAGACCTCACTACCTCTGAGGATGCTTGCCATAGATGCAGGCGAAACATCAGGAGAAAATGCCTCTAGAACATGGCCATATAGCCCGGAAAACCTACAACAACCCAGTGATTCCGGCCATGAAAGCCTTCGACAATATGTTTTCCTTGGGTTGCTGTCTAAGATTTTTCGGGCTGTATGGCCATCTTCCAGAATAGGCATGGGTAGTCATGGTTCTAAATGATTCTAAAGAACTTACAAAACTAGGGGGTGCTGGTGCTTTGCCTCTAAATTGTCGCTGAAGTTCTGGTGGTGAACATTTCAAACTCTAACAAAACTTTTGAAATTTTGTTATAAATGTTGTCGTTAATTCGTTCAGTCGTTTCCGACTCTTCGTGACCTCATGGACCATCCCACGCCAGAGCTCCCTGTCGGCCATCACTTAGATGAAGGGTTAGAAGGCATGATCATCAAGTTTGCAGACGACACCAAATTGGGAGGGATAGCCAATACTCCAGAGGACAGGAGCAGAATTCAAAACGATCTTGACAGATTAGAGAGATGGGCCAAAACTAACAAAATGAAGTTCAACAGGGACAAATGCAAGATGCTCCACTTTGGCAGAAAAACGAAATGCAAAGATACAGAATGGGGGACAATGCCTGGCTCGAGGGCAGTACGTGTGAAAAAGATCTTGGAGTCCTCGTGGACAACAAGTTAAACATGAGCCAACAATGTGATGTGGCAAAAAAAGCCAATGGGATTTTGGCCTGCATCAATAGGAGCATAGTGTCTAGATCTAGGGAAGTCATGCTACCCCTCTATTCTGCTTTGGTTAGACCACACCTGGAATATTGTGTCCAATTCTGGGCACCACAATTCAAGAGAGATATTGACAAGCTGGAATGTGTCCAGAGGAGGGTGACTAAAATGATCAAGGGTCTGGAGAACAAGCCCTATGAGGAGCGGCTTAAGGAGCTGGGCATGTTTAGCCTGAAGGAGAGAAGGATGAGAGGAGATATGATAGCCATGTATAAATATGTGAGAGGAAGTTATAGGGAGGAGGGAGCAAGCTTGTTTTCTGCTTCCTTGTAGACTAGGACGTGGAACAATGACGTCAAACTACAAGAGAGGAGATTCCATCTGAACATTAGGAAGAACTTCCTGACTGTGAGAGCCGTTCAGCAGTGGAACTCTCTGCCCCGGAGTGTGGTGGAGGCTCCTTCTTTGGAAGCTTTTAAACAGAGGCTGGATGGCCATCTGTCAGGGGTGATTTGAATGCCATATTCCTGCTTCTTGGCAGGGGGTTGGACTGGATGGCCCATGAGGTCTCTTCCAACTCTTTGATTCTATGATTCTATGATGTAGTCGCCCTCCTCTGGACACATTCCAGCGAAGGAGGGAAGGAGAGAAAGAAGGAAAGAGAGAAAGAGGGAGGGAAGGAAGCAAAGAGACTAGGAAGGATGGAACCAAAGAGCAAAGGAAGCGAGAAAAGAAACAGGTAGAGAAGGAAGAAAGAAGAAAAGAGGGAAGGGAGGAAAGAGGGAGAGAAGGAAGGAGAGAAAGAGGGAGGGAAGATTGAAAAAGAGGGAAGGAAGGAAAGAGGGAGGGAAGGAAGGAAGGAGAGAAAGAAAGGAGAGAAAGAGGGAGGGAAGATTGAAAAAGAGGGAAGGAAGGAAAGAGGGAGGGAAGGAGAGAAAGAAAGGAGAGAAAGAGGGAGGGAAGATTGAAAAAGAGGGAAGGAAGGAAAGAGGGAGAGAAGGAAGGAAGGAAGGAAGGAAGGAAGGAGAAGAAAGGAGAGAAAGAGGGAGGGAAGATTGAAAAAGAGGGAAGGAAGGAAAGAGGGAGGGAAGGAAGGAGAGAAAGAAAGGAGAGAAAGAGGGAGGGAAGATTGAAAAAGAGGGAAGGAAGGAAAGAGGGAGCGAAGGAGGGAAGGAAGGAAGGAAGGAAGGAAGGAAAAGAGGGAGGGAAGATTGAAAAAGAGGGAAGGAAGGAAAGAGGGAGGGAAGGAGGGAAGGAGAGAAAGAAAGGAGAGAAAGAGGGAGGGAAGATTGAAAAAGAGGGAAGGAAGGAAAGAGGGAGAGAAGGAAGGAAGGAAGGAAGGAAGGAAGGAAGGAAGGAGGGAAGAGAAAAAGGGAAGGAAAGAGGGAGGGAAGGAAGGAGAGAAAGAAAGGAAAGAGGGAGGGAAGATTGAAAAAGAGGGAAGGAAGGAAAGAGGGAGGGAAGGAGGGAAGGAGAGAAAGAAAGGAGAGAAAGAGGGAGGGAAGATTGAAAAAGAGGGAAGGAAGGAAAGGGAGAGAAGGAAGGAAGGAAGGAAGGAAGGAAGGAAGGAAGGAAGGAAAGGAGAGAAAGAGGGAGGGAAGATTGAAAAAGAGGGAAGAGGAAAGAGGGAAGGAAGGAGAGAAAGAAAGGAGAGAAAGAGGGAGGGAAGATTGAAAAAGAGGGAAGGAAGGAAAGAGGGAGGGAAGGAAGGAGAAGGAAGGAGAGAAGGAGGGAAGATTGAAAAAGAGGAAGGAAGGAAAGAGGGAGGAAGGAAGGGAAGAAGAAGGAAGGAAGGAGAGAAAGGAGGAAGGAAAAGAGGGAAGGAAGGAAGGAAGGGGAAGGAAGGAAGGAAGGAAGAAAGAAAGGAGAGAAAAGAGGGAGGAGGAGAAAAAAAAAGAGGAAGGAAGGAAAGAGGAGGAGGGAAGGAGAGAAAGAAGGAAAGAGGGAGGGAAAAAGAGGAAGGAAGGAAAGAGGGAGGGAAGGAAGGAAGGAAGGAGGAGAGAAAGAAAGGAGAGAAAAGGGAGGGAAGATTGAAAAAGAGGAAGGAAGGAAAGAGGGAGGGAAGGAAGGAAAGAGGGAAGAGGAAGGAAGGAAGAAAGAAAGAGAGAAAGAGGGAGGGAAGATTGAAAAAGAGGGAAGGAAGGAAGGAAAGAGGGAAGGAAGGAGACAAAGAAAGGAGAGAAAGAGGGAGGGAAGATTGAAAAAGAGGGAAGGAAGGAAGGAAGGAAGGAAGGAAGGAGACAAAGAAAGGAGAGAAAGAGGGAGGGAAGATTGGCCACAGCAACGTGTGGCGGGTACAGCTAGTCCTAATAAAACATCAAATTCTCCGTATTATCAATTTCTCCCTTTTTCTACAACTTTCTGACGTCATCTCGAACTTTCCAGAGTCTTGATTGGCCGGGAGAGGGAGGTCCCCGCGCCGCGTTCTGATTGGACAAGCCTTTCCCGGAGCTGCGTTCTGATTGGGCAAAGCGGGAAGCCACTTTCCCACGGGCTCCCATTGTGAAAAAAAATCAAGAAATCAACAGAGTGGTGCAGCAGTCAACACATTCTTGGAATATTTTTCTAATGGTCCTTATTTGAGCTCTTGGGGTTTAAAGCGGGCTAAAGGAGGGGGACAGTGGAAAAAGTGCTTTCCTCCCGAATGGATCTCTTTTTCTTCCTCCCCACCTCCCAATATATATATCTACAGGGAGGAGCTTGAGATCCCTCCAGCCCCGCTGATCGCGAGAGCTTCCTCCAACCCCAGCCTCTTCCCTGATTCCTTCCCCACCGTCATGGGTCGGCCGAGGACCTCCTCTGCAATGCTGGCTCTGTGGATGATGGTGGTTGCAGTTGCTGCAGCCTCCCCAGGAGAGGAAGACCCCGGCTCTGTGGATCCCGGTATGATCACGCAACAAGAGGAGGGAGGAGGGGTCGAAACGGGATGTGGAGGGGAAGGACAAAGGCTAGGGGAGAAGGAGCATCTCTGGGAGCATCTACACTGTGGAATTAACGCAGTTTGACATCGCTTTATCTTCTGTGGCTCATAGAGTCATGGGAACTGTAGCTTTACAGTCGAACTAGATTCTATGATTCTATGAACTACACATCCCAGGATTCCATAACTCTGAGCCATGGGAGTTAAAGCTGTTCAGCAGTGGAACTCTCTGCCCTGGAGTGTGGTGGAGGCTCCTTCTTTGGAGGCTGGATGGCCATCTGTCGGGGGTGCCTTGAATGCAATTTTCCTGCTTCTTGGCAGGGGGGAACTGGATGGCCCGTGAGGTCTCTTCCAACTCTATGATTCTAAAGTGGTGTCAAACTGCATTAATTCTACAGTGTAGATGCATGCTCAGTTGCAATCAGTTTGGAGGAGAAGCAGAATATAACCAAGTAAAACAAGCAGAGTAATCCTTATCAACCACAATCCCTTATCTGTAAGGTATATCTACACTGTCCCTATATCCCAGGATCTGATCCCAGATTATCTGCTTATCCCAGATTATATGGCAGTGGAGACTTATATAATCCAGTGCAAAGTAGGTAACCTAGAATCATATCCTAGGATATAGTATCAACCACAATCCCATAACAGTAAGCTATATCTACACTATCCCTATATCCCAGGATCTGACCCTAGATTATCTGCTTATCCCAGATTATATGGCAGTGGAGACTCATATAATCCAGTGCAAAGCAGGTAACCTGGAATCAAATCCTGGGAAATAAGGACAGTGTAGAAAGAGCCAAAAATTTTTGGATCCTGGAATGTTTGGGATTTTGGATCCCCCCCCCCCCCTTTGTAGGCTGTTAGGAATTGTGGAAGTTGAAGTCCAAAACACTTGGAGGGCCGAAGTTTGCCCTGGCCTGGGTTAAATAAGTAGGCTGAAAGTCATTGTATACAATATTTTACAATAATTTTGTGCATGAGACGAAATTTGTGTACAGTGAAGCATCAGAAAGGAAATGTGTTCCAATCTCATGCTTTGTCTATATACCTTGACGTCGATATATTCCTGTTAGATGTGAAAGGAGATTCACATCTAACAGCCAAGGCTAGGAATCAAGTGGCCCAAGTGTATAATGTTTGTATTTGTTCCAAGGCATTGAATGTTTCGACAATACATTCGACAATACATTGAATGTTTGCTTTTTGTGTATGTGTAAACTGGCCTGAGTCTCCCTGGGGAGATAAGGGTGGTCTATAAATCAAGTTTATTATTATTATTATTATTATTATTTGAAACACCACAAGATGAGTCCACAGCAGACACTCTGCTGGCTTTTGTATTGGATCACATGTCGGACACTTCCCAAGTGTCTAGGACTGTGTGATGTATCGGCGAATAATGTGTGCAGATCCCAGTTGGCAGCTGGCAGATGGTAATTTTGTCAGCGCCGATTGTGTTTAAGTGCAGGCCAAGGTCTTTAGGCACTGCACCCAGTGTGCCGATCACCACTGGGACCACCTTGACTGGTTTGTGCCAGAGTCTTTGCAGTTCGATCTTTAAATCCTCATATCGTGTCAGCTTTTCCAGTTGTTTCTCTGCAATCCTGTTGTCACCTGGGATTGCGACATCAACGATCCATATTTTGTTTTTTAACACGATTGTGAGGTCAGGAGTATTGTGCTCCAAAACTCTGTCTGTCTGAATTCGAAAGTCCCAGAGTAGTTTGACGTGTTCATTTTCTGTAACTTTTTCAGGCTTGTGATCCCACCAGTTCTTTGTCACAGGAAGATGGTATTTGTGGCACAAGTTCCAATGAATCATCTGAGCAATGGTGTTGTACCTCTGCTTGTAGTCTGTCTGCGGATCTTCTTGCAGCAGCTGAGGATGTGATCTATTGTTTCATCTGCTTCCTTGCAGAGTCTACATTTGGGATCTGTCGAATTTTCAATTCTGGCTTTGATGGCATTGGTTGTAATGGCTTGTTCTTGGCCTGCCAGAATCAGGCCCTCCTTTGTCTCCTTTTTCAGAGTTTCATTTGTGAGCCACATCCATGTTTTTTCTTTGTCAATTTGGCACTCAGTTTTTCCCAGGAACTGTCCATGGAGAGCCTTCTTTTGCCAGTCTTCTCTTCTGCTATTATTATTATTATTATTATTATTATGTATAATATAATATATACACCAACCTAGCAGTTCAAAAACATGCAAATGTGAGTAGATCAATAGGTACCGCTTTGGTAGGAAGGTAACGCTCCATGCAGTCATGTCGGCCACGTGACCTTGAAGGCGTCTACGAACAATGCCGGCTCTTCGGCTTAGAAATGGAGATGAGCACCAACCCCCAGAGTTACACACAACTAGACTTAATGTCAGGGGAAAATTTTACCTTTTTATATTATCATAATGCCAAAAAAAAAAAAAGTATTTATTAAATGTAACATGACTTCACAGATTACTTCACAGATAGGCTAGTCATCTTTTCTGAAGGACAAAGCACCTATTTTTCTGCTGCCAGAACAAATAGGAAAGGATTCAAATTCCAATCAAAGAATTCCACTCAGTTCTTGTGGGTTTTTCCGGGCTATATGGCCATGTTCTAGAGGCATTTCTCCTGACGTTTCACCTGCATCTATGGCAAGCATCCAAAGAATTCCACATTAACATGAGGGGGAAAAAATTGGGATAGGCAACCAAGGAAGGAATGGTATCTCTTTGCAAAGATAGAGCTTAAATGGACAAGTTTGGACAGTATTTTCATTGAGTATTCTGAAAATAACAGGGAATTGGTCTAGATCAGTGGTTCTCAGCCTTCCTAATGCCACAGCCCCTTAATACAGTTCTTCATGTTGTGGTGACCTCCAACCATAACATTATATTCATTGCTACTTTATAACTGTAATTTTGCTACTGTTATGAATCGTAATGTAAATATCGAATATTCAGGATGTATTTTCACTCACTTGACCAAATTTAACACAAATACCTGATACACCCAAATTTGAATACTGGTGGGGTTGACAGGGGGATTGATTTTGTCATTTGGGAGTTGTAGTTGCTGGGATTTATGGTTCACCAACAATCAAAGATCATCCTGAACTCCACCAGTGAGTGGATCTGAACCAAATTTGGCACACAGAACTCCCACAATCAACAAAAAATACTGGAAAGGTTTGGTGGGCATTGACCTTGAGTTTTGGAGTTGTAGTTCACCTACATCCAGAGAGCACTGTGGACTCAAACAACGATGGATCTGGACCAAACTTGGCACAAATACTCAATATGCCCAAATGTGAACACTGGTGGAGTTTGGGGAAAACAGACCTTGATATTTGGGAGTTGTAGTTGCTGGGGTGGAGTTCAGAATCATTGGTGGAGTTCAGAATGCTCTTTGTAGGTGAAGTATAAATCCCAGCAACTACAACTCCCAATTTATTTATTTATCGTGTCAGGAGCAAACCAAACTCCCCATTGACAAAATCAAATTTGGTCCAGTGAATGGAAATACATCCTGCATATCAGCTATTTACATTACGATTCATAAAAGAAGCAAAATTATAGTTATGAAGTAACAACAAAAATAATGTTACGGTTGGCACCACAACTTAAGGGGTCACAGCATCCCCTGCTAGTATACTGACACACAGACATGAATCTAGAAAGGGAGTTGGATCATGAGATACTAGTTTAATACTTTAAGACGCTCCAAGTAGGTAAAAACAAAGCAGAGGTATCCATTTTGGCCAGAAGAGGAGGGGAAAACAATCCCAAATCCCAGCAATTTTAGGCCAACTCGTATAGCACAAAATGTGCTTTGTTTCACCATGAACGTTCCAGGGAAGTGAATCTCTCCACCCCCTAAATGCTTGTAATTGTCTCTAGAGAAGTCGCTGGATAAACTTTCTCGATGGGTTGTCCCTTCCGGCTTTGTGAAATATTAGCCGACTGGAAGAGGGGGGTTATTTTGCCCATGGAGACAGCTGTCTGTCTGATTCTGAAAAGGAGTTTTTAGCTCTTTGACTCAGGCATTGGGTGACAGCAGGGGCACTGTTTGGGAATCTTCTTCCTCTGCTGTGTTGAGATCCCTAATATTGAATCCTATTAACTGTTGGAAGATGGAGAAGTAGGTGTTGGGAGGATATGACTATAGCAAACGTCTTTTTTCTGGACTTGTTTTGTTTCTCAAGAGTGAAATCTGGAAGGGCTCTAGTAGAGTTGGCCCTTTGTAGACACAGATTCTGCATCTGCGGGTTGAACCATCTGTTGCTTGAAAATATTCCCAAAATTCCAAAAGGCAAACTTTGATTTTGCCTTTTTACAAGGTCTGTCACCTTCTCTGCCTTTACTATACCGTTAGATTCAATTAGTCATGAGCAGCCATAGATTTCAGTATCCACAGGAGTCCTGGAATGAAGCCACAGTAGATAACACTTTTTATTGCCTTTGTTGTGCTTTATGCTGTTTTAATGTTTTAACGTGTCTTATATTATGTACACGCCTGGGGGAGAAGCACGCCTTGAGTCGCCGATAGGCTGAGAAAGGCGGTATACAAATACAGCAAATAAATAAATAAATAATAACAAGGGTCCATTGTATTTTAATGATTGTGGAGGGGATGTAAGTAGATGTTCAATCTGTTGTCAAGGCTTTCATCACTGGAATCACTGGATTGTTTTGAGTTTTCCAGGCTGCATGGCCATGTTCCAGAAGTATTATCTACTGATGTTTTGCCCATACCTATGGCAAGCATCCGTTGTGGTTCTCAACCTGGGGTCCCCAGATGTTTTGGGCCTTCAAGCTCCCAGAAATCCTAACAGCTGGTAAACTGGCTGAGATTTAAGGGAGTTGTAGGCCAAAAACATGATTCCCCAGTGTAAAAAAGCTTACCAACTCAGGATCATTCCATCTATTTTCATTCTGGTTATCTCCACCCCATATCGCCTTATTTTGGTGAGAT